GCCTCTAAAGTAGAGGTTCCAAACAAAAACTTCTTACTTTTCGAACCCATTCAGCTTGGATTGAGATTTACAAGAAAGTTGGCCATATCTTTCTTCCTACTTTTGCTGCAGGTCAGTATTTTTTTTGACAATCATTAATTTAAATAAAATATTAAGGCCCCATTTGATTATGATATTGTTTTTAGTTTTCTGTTTTTGAAATTTATACTTGTTTCCTCCTACTTTCTTTACTATGGTTTTCAGATTTTTTAAGGAAGCATTTGAATTCTGCTGGACGTTCAAAAAAACAAAAACAAGTTTTAAAAACTTGACTTGGTTTTTGAAAATAATGGTAGAAAGTAGATAACCAAACAAAGAATCTTAGAGACGAAAGTAGTGTTTATAAGCTTAATTTTAATATTATAGGGATCTTTACTTGCTATGAGTGAACTCGGTCGTGTTTCCTAGTAAAGTAATGCATGGAAGAATGAGGTTTCTGATTTGAGCTCTTGTATTACAGGAATCTTTACTTGCCATGAGCAAACTCAGAGAAAAGGTAGATCTGGAGAAGAGTCGTGCAAAACAGGATAGTGTTGATGAGGAAAAGGAACTGGAAGTAACTATCAGAGCAAAAAACAATGCTTGGGCTATTTCTCGAATCACAAGAGGGAAAGAGCTTTATATGGTTCTGGAGAAAGCCAACGAAACCCTGCTCTATGCCTCTGATATGGTGGAGAAATTCAGCAACAGGTATCATTAATTTTTTTATTTACATTTTCAGCATGAATACCTCAAACTACTCTTTAGCAATGGCCATGTCCAGTCTGATCGGCCATTTTCTCGGCCAAAGTATCATTAAGAAAGTAATTACAGAAAAGTTCTCATAGCCAACACCAAGAAGCTGCAACAAAGAGAACATTTTCCAAAACAGACCGAAAAATCGCATCATCTTTTCCTACAAACTGAAACTATTTTCTACTTGTGGTCTACAGGTACTGCAACGGAGCATTCTCCTTGGATTAGAGGGACACGCTTCCACTGTCGTGTCTACGACGTTGTAAAATAAAGAGCAGAGGTTAGACGGATGTGCACAGTTTCTAGTTTTTGCTGCTTCATAATTGGAATCTCCCTTCTGTAAATTTCTATTAACAATAAAGTGAATCCTCTCTCATTTTCTGTAGAAGAGGGGAAAAATATATGCATATATAGGCCTTCAACCATGGAGAGAAAGAACATCTAAGCTATTAGAAGCCTGCATTTAGTCCTATTCATTTATTTTAGCAACAATTTAAAACTTGAGCTTCTTCCCTTTTGGTGGAATTCTCTGAAGAAGCTTATATAATTCTTCTGATTCTGAAAATTGTGAAGGATCTCAGGAAAACTCTTCATATCATGCATCTGACTTGGTGTTAATATTTGGGAATGAAGGATATATATAATAATCCCATTTGATTGTTCTTGCATGTCAAAGGCCCTCTGAGTTCGCTGCTGCTTTCTATTATGATGGCATTATGCTATGTGCCAATTTCCAAGTCCCAAATGGTATATGATTTTAGGTATTCCGCTAATTGCGTGTATCGACTAAAATCACTTTTGTCGTATTCATAATCACTTCTATGCATGTTTTTAGTCATTAACAATCAATCTGGATGGTACTGTTGAATGATAAAGGACATGTTGAGGATGATTTTAAAATTTGTTCTTGTTTTTATTTTTGTTTTTCTGACAAAATATTCCTTTCTAAAGTATGTACATCCAGTTCCATTTAACTCTTTATGCAGAAAAAGTTCCTGTCCTGTGAATCATTTTTTGTACAAACTTGTGACATATTTATATTAATATTAAATATATGTTGACCTAAATTATAATAAATTCTAATCCAATTATAATATTCCAGATTTATTTTTTAAATAATGAATAATAAATGGTTAAATTATATATATATAAAAAAAAAGACGGTATATTATGGGTTTTTTAAAGTTAAGTTCATAGGCAAAAAAAATTTAAACACGGGGGAAATAAATTTAAAAAATGTCGTGTATTTAGATTTTTTTTCTTTTTTTTTGCCTATAAATTTAAATAAAAACATCCTTCAATATTTAGTTTAAATCAAATTTCAAATTTCAAATTACAATTAATTAATCCATAGTTAATGATATTTTTTGTATTTTACCAAAAATAAAATTAAAAAAATTAAAAAAAGAAAGCCTTTCGCCATCGAATTTCTTTCCTTTCAGTACTCTGTCTCTGACAGTTCGCGGCCACGGCAACACGCATCTCACAGTTCGACCGTTCGCATTCCATTTTCATTTCCTTCTCTTAATACTCTACTGAAGTTCCACTTTCTCTCTGCATCAATGGCGGACGGCTCTACACCAATCCACCTGGATCCTCACAAGCAGGCTCTTCTCAACCACCACACCGAGAAGCACTTCACCGCCGGCGAGATCGTCCGTGATATCATCATCGGCGTCTCCGACGGCCTCACTGTTCCTTTTGCCCTCGCCGCAGGACTTTCCGGCGCCAATGCCTCTTCCTCCATCGTCCTCACCGCCGGTATCGCTGAAGTCGCTGCCGGCGCTATCTCCATGGGACTCGGCGGGTGCGACTCTCTCTCTCTCTCTCTTAATCACCGCCATTGACTTTCCGTTTACCTAGAAAAATGTCGCGCAATTAACATTGAACTTGATCGTTTTCGATATCCAAAATTTTGCTGGAGCATTGAGTCGGTTCTAGTATAGAAATTGAATCTGAGTTTTTCTGTAATACTGAACCGAATCGTCCTTCATTTCGCATTTGTATTTTGTGTTTGTGTAGATATCTTGCGGCGAAGAGCGAAGCGGATCACTATATGAGAGAACTGCGGAGAGAGCAAGAAGAAATCGTCGCGGTTCCCGATACTGGTACAGATTGATCAACTCTTTTCTTTTTTTCCTTTTTTTTCCTTTTTTCATTCCTTTTTAGAGTTTCATTTTAGATTTCTTACTGAAATGAAATTAGGATGAATATGAACAAAACATTTCGTAAATGGTAAGTTAATTCGGAATAAGATTTGTTGTTCAATATGGCTTAAGGGTAGTTTGGGCATATGCTTAAAGAACGGCTTTTCCACGAAAAAAATTGGGATTTCTGTCAAAATATTTGTTTTAAGGTTAAATTATTAAATAACACTTCGGTCAATTTTGCCCTTTTATTCTTTCAAAAATTACAAACCTTTCATATACATTTTTAAAAATATTTAGACAAAAAATTATGATTTAAAATATTGCAAACCTTGTGTCATGTGTCAATCAGCTCATATCTGATTAAAATACGTGTCCTAACCAGTGGTGAATCCCTGTAGTTGAATTAGAAAAACGCTAAAACAATATTCAATTTCTACTTTTTGAAGATCAATCCAACAAACTCATTTGAATTTAAAACTTTTTTTTTAGTATGATAGAATGGGAGGTTAATATGTGATTAATTCGGAATGAAAGGGTTCACTTTGACCGTTAAGAGTAGGTAACCCGTTCCGTTCATGTGTCTTTGTTTCTATTGCATTCTATCTCATCGTATCAAATTCTATTCTGCAATATTTGAAAATCACCGTCAATACTTCGGTGTAGGTCCGGGATAATCCTTTGTTCCACAGTCTGGGTCTATTTACAACTAGCCAATTAAGAATTCTTAGATGTACTAGTACTAGCAAGTGCATCTTTGATGCAGTTATCGATTCTCTCGAGAGATCACAATTACCGTGAACAAACATATTAATGACGAGGAATACAATTTTGTTATTCTATTAAATACTTCGTCTTCTGAAAGAATTTTATTTGGCAATATAAATGCAGAAGCGGCAGAAGTAGCAGAGATATTGGCACGGTATGGGATTGAACCCCATGAATATGCTCCAGTTGTGAATGCTCTTAGGAAGAGACCTCAAGCTTGGTTGGATTTCATGATGAAGTAAGTTCTCTTTCTCCTCCTTTAGCTGTGATACCATTTTATAATTATTTCATTTTTTGTTTTCTGTTTAATAAGATTGATATTTTCCTTTATTAAAATCCATATAAGATATAGACGTGAATATTTTATTTAATATTCTTAGGCGGTGTGTTTATCTCGATCCCAGAAATTTGTCTCATATAGAAAGCAAAGGTTAGCGCTTTGTAATAATAATGCCCATCTATAATCCATTTGAAGTTTCCAGCCTTTTCTAACTTAAATGTTCACTGCTGCCACCCAAGAAGATACTGACATCACTATTTTCAGCTGCTTCCTCTTACCTCCAAAACCCAATATCAAAAGGGTGGTTTTACAAAACTCTTATTCGTTTCAGAGTCGTGAGGGGAAACTCGAAAAAAAAAGCCTAAAGAGGACAATATCTGCTAGCAGTGGGTTCCGGTTGTTACATTTTTTTTTTTCTTCAAATTACAAATTTAGTAGTTAATTTTATTTTTATTGTCACTTTAAACTTTACAATAAGTTCATCATATTCAAAAGACAAGTTTAGAAAGTATTATTATCAAGGATGAGTTTAGCAAACAGTATAGTTTCAGGTTCGGTTCATGATTTAATCCGTCAACTGTTTGTGTGGTGTGGTGATGTAGATTTGAATTAGGATTGGAAAAGCCAGATCCTAGAAGAGCTCTGCAAAGTGCACTCACAATTGCATTGGCTTACATATTGGGGGGGCTGGTGCCGCTCATTCCTTACATGTTTATTGCAAATGCAACCAGAGCAGTGACAGCATCAGTTGCATTGACACTATTAGCGCTGCTCGTTTTCGGGTATGCAAAGGGTTACTTCACAGGTAATAAGCCCTTTCAAAGTGCCATCCAAACCACCCTTATCGGAGCCATCGCATCTGCCGCTGCTTTTGGCATGGCCAAGGCTATACAACTGTGAATTAACCCGCCCCCATGTCAATATCTAATAAGAGTATCCCCCCCTAAGGCCACGTTTTTAGTCTAATCTCATAAGATGAGTCTAAAACTTTTGCCAGTTTTCTCAGTTCAGGTCTAGAAATGAACATTTGATGCGGATCTTAGAACATTAAAACATCTTTTTCAATCCTTGAAGTGTTTGGTTTGGTATAATGCTTGAAAGTTGAAACAAAAGTATTACCTTGCGGCATCACCAAGAAAAAGATGGTTGAAATTCTATAAACCTGTCTGAAACTCATTACTCTACTTAAGATATTGAAATGGCAGCAGCTTAAGATTCATCCAACCTTTGTGACATCTCAAAAGTTTCACATTTCTCCATTTGCCTGATTAGAATCTCAAAATCCTGAGACTTCTCTTCATGAGTTCGAGTATCGATTGTTTCCATATCCAGTTCATCGTCCTCATTGTCCACAGATCGTTTTTCGTGGTCAATTTTTGTAGCATTATCTGAATTCCCAGAAAAAGGACTAGCTAGAAGAAGCTGCTCCCATGCAACATCTTGTACATCTGGAAGAACAAATTGAGTATGATTGTCTAAACACAACTTTTCATCCAATAGCACTTTCATGAAGTCAGAATTAAGGAAAAAGTCCTTCATTCCATCAGGAAATGGATCAGATTCTTGCTGTTTCCCCATACCCGACACTGCTGGAAGTAGATTTGCTGGCAGTTCATCTAGTGGTCGTTGATGATACCTGACTATCATACCATTTGAAGGTACTTGTTTATCATCTGGTATTTGTTCTAGCATATTGCTCGTGTCGGCCATGCGCCAATTTTTCTCTTTCGGTTGAAGAAACTGAACCAAAAACCCAGGGCTTTGCACTGCCATTACTAAGAATGACAGCATCTGCTGTTGATTCTTTTCCACACCTTGAAGGCGGTCTCTCAATACGAGCAACTTGTCCTCTGAAGTTTCTTGGTGCTGCTTAAGTTTAACCAATTCCTGCATTACAGAATTTTTATCAATTTTAAGACTCTCAACTTCCTTCCACAGCTCTGTATAATCATGTAGTTCAACTTGTCCCTCAGACTTGTCTTGGGGCTGCGCTGCGTTATGCTGATCTGTGCCCTGGATGTTTTTCCTTCTGTAGATGTTCTTTAAGAGATGTTTTTGTCCCTTAATGAATCCATCAGTTGCAAATACCCAGCAATCTGTATCTATTTTCCGAAAGCCCTGAAATTTATGGAAGGAGCCACTTGTTACAATCATGATTTGATCATTCAAAACTATGTCAGTAATGAGGGACAAATGTAGTAAGAGGTTTGATTGTTTAAATTCATATGTATGTGGAACCGTGCAACTGTCCAAGCCCTGCTAGGAGATACGTATGTTCTTTAATGTTTTTAAAATGTGTTTACTAGAGAGAAGTTTCCACACCCTTACAAATAATGTTTCGTTTCCCTCTCCAATCAATGTTGGATCTCCTCCCTTCGGGACCCAGTGTCCTCGCTGGTACTCGTTTCCCTCTCCAATCGATGTGGGATCTCACAATCCACCCCTTTGGGGCCAGCGTTCCCTGGCACACTGTCCAGTATCGGGCTCTGATTCCATTTGTAACAACTTAAGCCCATCATAAGTAGATACTTTCCCTTTTGAGTTACTTATCAAGGTTTCCAAAACTAATGTTTTGTTTCCCTCTCATATATATGAGATATATGAAGTTAGGTGAGATTTAGCATGTACCTTCACAATTTAAGAACCATAACTTCAGGAACAAAACTCTCATTCTAGAAAGAGAAAATACAAATCTAGAAGAAAATAATACTTGGGAGTCTGTTTCTACAGATTGCATCATGACTAAATCAGGTGTCCATGAAACAATGAACATTTGTGGAGAATGCTCCAAAAAGGAGTAAAACAAAAGGCTGCGAGACCTTTGTGAAATTTCTTCCTCACGCCAACCCCAACTCCTCAATAATAGAGTATTGTAAAACCCTTCACTATCTTAGCAATGAACGCTCTCCTTTAGAATTTCTATTCCTCTATCAACCTTCCATGAGCAGAGTAGTGATCATGGCTGAAGAACACAAGTATCATACTTTTTTTTTTTTTTTTGGTAAGGGGGCACGGAAGGGAGTGGGCCTTACACTCTATGGACCATGCACGGGATCCATCTGGCCCGGAATCTAATGGATAGATGGTTAATCCTCTTTTTTTTTTAGTGATTACTATACATAGAGAGGTCGGCTCTAATGGATTGCCTTTAGGCCTTTCTTGTGCAGCTTAGTAGGAGGATAAAAGGGGCCTAAGCCATAAGTGAGATACCACTCTGAAAGAGTTAGAAGTCCAACCTTTTGCCACGACCCACGGGCCAAGGGGCAGTCTCAAGTGGACATCGTCCAGCAAAGCCTCGAAGAAGGTGAGGTCAATCTCAAAGATCTCATTGGCCGGCAAACCAAAGACGCTTCTAGTCACAGTTGAGAGTAAAGATTAGGATGATGGCTAGGTCTACTAAACCAGAATACATAGCCAGCTATTGCTAATATGGAACAACAAAAGGAGGCTCAATTCACTAACTTCACCCAAGAGAGTAGATAGAACAACCTCATGGAATTGGGCAACAGACTGACAGAATTCACACTCTCACGAGCTTAAGACCAAGTCTTACACATAACCTCATCACGACCTATGCAAACTATGCCCTTTATTAGCACTCAATTGCGTTATCTAGAACAAAGATGAGAATCAGAACTCCAACACACAAAAAAATGATGGAAGACAGAGAGAAATAGAAGAAAGAAGAAACTGACATAGATATTAAGCTGGCGCATGAAGCTAGAGAAATTGCTGTGCTTAAAGTACTTGGGAAGCATGTGGACACAGAATTGGGTGATGTCCACAATCGTAAAGCTATCCTCCGTAGGTCTCCACGCGATAATCGAATTGGTGGCGTCGTCGTCAACCATCTCATACAACTTCTTCACGAACGGCGCCACCGTCGATCCCTGCCGCTCCGCCGCGGATTTCACCATCGCTAAATCGATTACGACAAAAGAACAAAGTAAGAAGAAGTTGGGAATTTTGAGGGTTTATTTGCGGTGTCGTGTTGTTTGGTTTTCAGTGATGCTTCTTCACTTCTCCGTACCTTCCTTTCGCCATTGTTGCTGTTCTAATAATCCCGGATTCTTGCACCAATTCCATCACTTACACACTGCCACGTGTACCTTTGACCGCTTCCTTTTTTTCTATTTTTATATTTTCAAATAACTTTAAATATTATTTTTTTAATTAATAATTAAGGTTTTTTTTTAACCTTCCAACTTTTTCAATCTCTTTGCTTTCAAATGTCTAAATTAATTTTTAGAAAAATATTATGAACTTCTTTAGTGTTCAGAGATACCATTTTTTAATATTTTGTGTATTTATAAATGTATCAATGTATAGATTGATATTTTTCTTCATGCTTTTAATCAATTTCAAAACTAGTCATTTGAAGATATTTTTATAGAATTTGATTAAATAATAATAATAATTTTATTAAAAAAATTGAAAGAATGTGTGGATTATTTTAAGATTCATTGGTAGATTGATTAAAGGTTTATAATTGAAACATAAATAAATTGTTTATTAGATAATAAATATGTAATTATAGAAATAAAATGATCTTTTGGCTCATGAATTTTCGTAAATGATGGAGTTATCTGTAATTATTACACTTATAAACACAATTTGTCCTACAAGTTTATAGTTTATCGTGTAGTTTATAGTGAAGTGACATTATAGTTAATTGGAGTGACATATAATTAATGAATGAAATTAATGTATCAAATAATTAAGTCAATTAACTAAATTTCATCGGAACTTATAACATGTAAATCCAAAAGTCCCATTGCTAGCTCACGAAGACACTAGTTACTTAGATATACAACATGACAGGACAGGAGAGGTTGGGGCAAAAATAGAGACGAAGAATATAATCTTCATCTACAGGGTGAAAACAACTGTTACCGGTGAAATTAACCATCAAACCTAATAGCAAATCAAGCGGCCCAACCCAATCCAACTCATCGAGCTATAAATTAGCCTGAGGGTTGAACCTTAGGGTAAGGCATGAGACACAAAACATGAGACCAGAGACACAAGCACAAGACATGAAGCACAAGACACATGCTTGAACATATGAATCTCAATCCCTGACCATAACCTAGAGGGCCAACTCGGTAAAGGTCGACTGAGACGTAAAAAGGCCTCGACACCCCCCCCCCCCCCCCCCCCCCCCCCC